ATGAGCCTCAACCAATTTAAAATGCCTTGTCATTCTTCTGAACTCATTTTGGGGAAGTAACGCAATAGTAATGTAATAACTAACTTATTACTCTACACAGAGTAATATTGTAATGTAATTTATTACTTTTAAATGATGGTAACTAGTAATATGTAATACATTACATTTTGAGAGTAGTATCAAAATACACAGGACGAGATGTTAAATACTGCCCTTTGTGCCAATAGGTGGTGAGCACTTACTCAAGATTTTCCTTGATGTTGAAAGTGGTAGAGAATCAACAGGTGGGGGTTCTCTGAGTTGTGGGGGAGGTTAGTCTTGGCCAGGATGACATTTCAGGACAATTGGGCACGGGACACATCAGTAGTGTGGCCTTACATCACTGGGTGTTTCGACCTTCAACACTATATACCCTCCACAAGGTAGGCCTGCTGCCGGGTGATCAGCCCGCAGCTTGTGTCCCATGCCTAACCATCCCTGAAATTCAGCCTGTTGTTCCAGTCTTCAGCTGTCTAACCGGTGGACAGGCAGGGGGTTCTCCGGTGGTTTATGCTAATGTACTTGCCCAGCACGGATCATTCTACTTAAGCCAAATCCACTGGCTGCTTCTTTCCACGGTCTTCTGCAAGGCCTGACCATGGCATCTGAGTTCTTCCCACAGTCTAATGGTAGACGATGCCACAAATCCTCTGCATCCTACTTCAACTGGATAGACTTTGGTGTTCCAGCCATGCTGCTTCACTTCTGCTGCTAGCTCTGCATAGCGCAGCTTCTTGTGTTCATAGGCCTCCTCAATAGAGTTCTCCCATGGGACTGTGAGCTCAATGATGTAAGCAGTCTTCAGTGAAGGGGACCAGAGTACCAGGTCTGGCCGGAGGTTGGTGGAGGCCATCTCTGGTGGAAAGACTAGTTGTTGGCTGATGTCTGCCAGCATCTTCCAGTCATGAGCTCTGCGCAGCTGCCTTGCTTCTGACACGGTGGAAGGATGTTTAGGTGTTTTCTGTCCTTCTTGGACAAACATTATTGCCTTCAAAAGATTGCTTGGTCTTGGTGGCAAGGAGTTGGTTGTAGTCCGCTTGCTCTCCAGCGCTGATGCCAGGCATTTGAGGACCTGATTATTCCGCCAGGTATATCTCCCCTGCATGAGGCTGGTCTTGCATCCGGTCATAATGTGTTTGAGGACTGCTGGAGTTGGGCAGAGGGCACATGTTGCATCCTCACCATACCATTGGTGAAGATTCTTTGGTGATGGTAGGATGTCATATGTCGCCCTAATAATGAAGCTGATCTTGCTTCCTTCCATTTCCCATAACTCCCTCCAGCTGATCTTTCTCCTCTCCACACCTTCCCATTGCATCCATTGCCCCTGCTTGGCAAGATAGACAGCCTTTGCACTCCTCAAGATCTCCTCCTGTTGATGCACCTCCTCAACCACCAGTGTCCTCTGCTCTGATGTTGTAGCCCTTTGCCAGCTTGGTTTGTGTGCTTTCAGTCCGAAGCCTTCTCTTCCCTGCTGGACTTGTCCCACGATATCTTTGTGCCTAAGGGCTGATGTGGCTTGCTGCACTGCATCGGATGGTGTCCAATTCTGCCTAGTTACTAGGGGCACTGCAACAGTCCTGATGGTCTGGTCTCTGGAGTCCTTCAGTGTCATCTGGAGTCTTACTTTTGAACACTTGCATTCTTCAGTGAGACCAGTGAGAGGTAGCTCCAGGACTCCTTTGCCGTAGATGCTGATGTTATTCAGGCATCGTGGGACGCCAAGCCACTTCTTTGCATATGATGTGATGGTTCACTCAGCACCCCCTTGACTATGGAGATGCTTTGAGATTTACTTGGCTTGATTTTCATTTGGGCCCAATTGCTGTTCTTCTGCAGCTTTCCAAGCAGCTGCTTGGTGCATGCTGCAGTGGTGGTCAGGGTTGTCATGTCGTCCATGTATGCCCTGACAGGTGGAAGACAGAGCCCATCCCTGGTTCATTCACCACCCATTTTGAGGCCCTGATGATGACTTCCATGGCCATTGTGAAAGCCAAGGGTGAGACTGTGCAGCCTGCCATTATGCCTACATCCAAGTGCTGCCATGCCGTAGTGAAGTCCGCTGTTGTGAAGCACAGTTGCAGGTCTTGGGAATAGGTCTTGACCAGTGTGGTGATGAGCTCTGGTAGAACTTGAATGATTCCCAGAGAAGTTCGTGGGGAACTGAGCCAAATGCATTGGCCAGGTCGAGGAAGGTCACATGCAGGTCTCTCTTGTCCTTCTTGGCTGCTTGGATCTGGTGCCAGATCATGCTAGTGCGCTTCAAGCAACCAGCTGAAGCACTGGAATCCCAGCTTTCTGTAGAGAAGTATCGATATACTTGTTTCTTTCCAGGTAAGTGGACAGCCTCTGTGCCACTATACGGAAAAAGATTTTCCCCTCAACGTTAAGGAGGCTGATTGGCTGGAATGGGCTGATGTCTGATGCCTCCTTTTCTTTTGTTGTGAGCACGCCGCCAGCTCTTTGCCAAGCCTTGGGTATTGGTTGCTTCTGCCACATTGTTCTCATGAGCCTCCACAGAAAGCATAGTACATCCGGCACATTCTTGTAGAGCTTGTATGGTACTCCATTAGGCCCTGGGGCCAATGCTGCTCTTGCTCGCCTCACTGTGTTCTCTACTTCTTTCCATTTCGGAGGACTAGTGTCCAGGTTGACAACAGGTTGAATTAGCGGCTGTCAGGTGGAATGACTATCCGCTCATGCCTTTTCGTGTCATGGCAGACCTTTTTCAGTAGGTCCTCCAGATCCTGCTTTGATGTTTTCAGAGTTCCGTTACTTTCCTTTGTGAAGAGGTCTTTGACAAACTTGAAAGGATCTTTGTAGAAATAAGTTCTTGTGTGCTCCTTCTTCTTGCGAAGTTTCCTCAAGTTCTCTGCTCTTCGCAAAGTTGACAGCCGGCTCTTGATATCTGCTTGGAGGAGTATGAGACCTTCCTTCTTGGTGTCTGAGGCTTTTTTCCATTGCTTTCTAATCTGTCTCCTTTCTCTGATTAGCCTCTTGATCTCTTGTTGCCTCCTGGACTTCACTGGTGCTGGTAGTTTCTTTTAACCTCTCCCTTTATTCTCCCCAAAGTGCTCTTCGCCATAGCTGTAGATTATGTCGCCCATCCTTTCAAGCTTTTCCTGTGTTGTGCCCCCTTGTTCCTCCAGGATTTGTGTTAGGTCCCTGTTGATTGTTTCCCACTCTTTCTTGTCAACAGCTTTGGGCCATTTCACAGATAGTTTGTTGAGTAACTTGCCCAACAGTGCTTGTGGAGTTCCAGAGTTCTATTTTGGGTCCGGTTCTCTTTTCATTCTACATGCTTCCATTGGGTCACATACTGCATAAACATAACGCGTCTTGTTACTGTTATGCCGATGACACCAAACTGTACATACCCATCATTCCTAATAACTTCAATCACCTCACTCCCCTCCACAATTGCCTTAATGATATCAGAGAGTGGATGCATCAAAACCTTCTGCAGCTTGTCAATAACAAAACAGAAGTTTCACTAGTCAGTCCACACTGTGCGACTGAAGTGCTATAACACCAGCTAAGCTCCCTATGTCTCACACACTCTGCCAGCAACTTAGGAATCATAATTAATTCACACCTCAGCTTTGAAAAACAGGTCAAGACAGTAGGTCAAGCTTGTTTTTTTACAATTAAGAACCATCTCTAAAGTAAAATATTTTATGTCCATCTGTGATATGGAGAAGGTCATAAATGCTTTTATCTTTTCTAGACTTCACTATTGCAGCTCCTTATATTTCTGCCATCAGAAGCAACTCTCAGGGCTCCAACTGGTTTAGAATACTGCTGCAAGACTTATAATGGGCATTAACAAAAGGTAGCATATATTACACCTGTCCTAGCTTCACTGCATTGGCCTCCTTTCCATTTTAGGATTAATTTTGAAATTTTATAATTCACCTTCAAAACACGACTTAGACTAGCTCCTGAGTATATAATGACTCTCTTAATACCAGATGAGTCTGAATGTGCCCTGAGATCATCTAGTCAGTTACTGTTCCCAGGACAAAATTTGTAACTAGAGGACATTAGGCTTTTGCTGTCAAGACTCCCAAAATCTGGGAAGTACTTTCTGTTGAGATACGACCATCTACATCTGTATACACTCTTAAAAAACATTTAAAAACACATTTTTTTTAAAGATTGTATTTTAGTCCCAGTGTCCTGTATATGTATATATATGTTCTTGTGCATATGTGTGCTAAAGCTTGTGCATATAGCGTGTGTGTATGGGTATTTATGCATGTGCCGATTTGTGTAAATGCATGTGCATATTTATACACAAGTATGTGTATTTATTTGTTTTTATCACTTTGTTTTACCACTTTACTATTTAGAGATACCTCATTGTTTATACTCTTACTTCATTTAACTGTTTTTATTGCCTTGTGATGCACATTGTAACATATGTTTGATGTGCTGTATAAATGTATTATTATTATTATTATTATTATGCATACAAGTGTTGCTCAAACTTTAGTACCTCATAATGGCTTCATCTCTCAATGCACCTTACAACTAAGTGAAATTCTGTCCTCAGTAGAAATTTTAGAAAATTTCCTGAAACACCAACTTATAGGAGACTGAACATGAAATACAGAGCAATCGGGAGCAGCTGGAGCTGGGGCACTGACCTTGGAGTCAGAAACAATGACAGAAACTCTGAATTCATATGTGTTTTTTTCTGTACATAAGCAAAGTTTTGGAACACAAAGATGCAATCAAACTTTTTAAAAAGTGTATTATAGTAATAGCTACAAGTAGGCCAGCTGTGGCCAAAAGGTGATCATACTTATAATGGCCTGTGAAAAAAAAACAATCTTAGGAGCCACCATCTTTTGCAGTTGTCAAATAAATACGAGCAGACACCGACATTTCTAGAGCTGTTTGTTGCTTGGCAGATTGGTCGCTGTTAAAAATAAACTGCGCAAAACTGTTGCTTTTACCTGTCAGCAGTGTGAAGTGAGCAGGGCTGGTAATGGTGAGGAAAGGTGGAGTAACATAGGCTGCCTTCACTCCATCCTGGGCCATCTTATCCAGATGAGGGGTTTCAACATCTCTGTCATAGTCCCAGCGGAAGCCGTCTAAGGAGATGAGCAGCAGCTTGTTTCTGGTGGACCCTGTGAATACTGACCGCAGCTCAGGGTCCTGTGGCGGGGCTGCAGTACAAGGATAGCAGGCACTGAGGCCGAGGACAGCAAGACAGAGCCGCAGCATGGCTGAGGATTTGTACACACCTTGTTGTAACAGAAATTCTTCTGGTTTACACTTTATTTAAACTTTTTTCAGTTGGCCGGCTTGGTCTCAATTTTATAATTTATTCCTGGCCACTACAACTATCAATGTCTTAAAGGAGGACCTTATTGTTCCTCTCTTCTTACTGCAATAGTATGACTGATATCACCGTGAAACAAATATGAGACCGTATGGCACAATGTTAGTGGATACACCCCTAATCAGTCTTTGTACTTAATGAGGGATATTGTCAGCACTTATCTACCAGGCCATAAACTTAAGTCCCACTATATTTTTTACAAGTGCAATACAGTAATATGACAGGGAGAGTGCATGTGTGAACAAGAGACATTGCAGAGGATAATTGTCAACACTTTAACACTGCCACAGGTAAGATGGGGTATAACATGACAAGATACTGAACACAAACCAAGAAGTTGTTTCTTTAAAGGTCCAGTGTGTAGGAGTTAGGGGGATATATTGGCAGAAATGGAATATATATGAAAAGTATATTTTCTTAAGTGTATAAGCCTTTTAGTGTGCCTGAAAATAAGAATCCTGTTTTCATTACTGTACAATGAGATATTTATATCTGCATAGGGAGTGGGCCTTTGTTTATGGGGATTGCCATGTTCAGTGCCATATTTCTACAGTAGCCCAGAGTGGACAATCCAAACACTGGCTCTAGACAAGGCTATTCGCGATTTGGGGTTTTCTTTTTGGCAACGGTAATTAGGAGCTAATCTGCAACAAGCAGCATTGGAAAATCATCTTTTTTTCACGTGAAATTGCTTGATTCACTGTTTTACAGGTTTAAATCATGTGGTCCATTTATTTTAGAGAGGAAGAGACCTCTGTGGATAATTTGGCCCCTGGTAAAAAGCTTCTGAACTGCTAGATCTTCAGGAAAAAAAGGTGAGCACACATTAGCAGATGCAAGGCTAGCAGCCCATCGTCAACATGCCAGTCTGTAATAAATATATGTTACAGCCATCCGGCATTATATTAGGAATCATTCCAGCAGAAATAGAGAGTGGAGGAGATAAATATTTGTATACAATAATACGTATGGCTACATTAAAACAAATTACACGCAATTGGATGAATGTTAAGTCACCATCTATTAAGGCCTGGAAATTAACAGTTGAAGATAGGAGAGAAATGGCAAGATTCTCAGCTTCTCCATATGGCACACTCATGCATAATTATAAGTGTTAGAATGTTAGAGTGAAGCTTTTGATTGCTGAACCTAGTATAGCCCTGGGGCAAGGGGATGCTCATGAAGTCTTGCTGAGGCGTGATCATAGGTGTGCCATAAGGACTGCCGACCTTATTACAGGCTGGGGGGCAGGGAGGGGCCACTGCTTCTTATGGTACACTCAGACATAGTTATACATTCTAGAATGTTAGGGTTCTGGAATGTTTCTAAAATGTCACAGATTCTAGAATATTAAGGTTCTAGAATTGTAGGTTGTAGAATGGCGAGGTACAATTGTAGAATGTTACGTTATAAATGTTTTGTAATCTAGAAGTTTAGGGTTCTAGAATGTTAAGTTGAATGTTCTGGTGTGTTACAGGCTCTAAAGTGTCATGGATTCTTGGGTTCTAGAGTTTTATGAACTTTAGAAGTTATGGTTCTAGAACTGATATAGTTGTAGAATGTTTATTTACAACTGTAGAATGTTAAGTTATGACTTGTTGAATGTGTTAGGGTTCTAGAATGTTGCAGTAAAAAGCTGCTGCTGACTCATTGGCACACCCACTCCATATGGCACACTCTTGCATTGCTATGACTTCTAGAATGTTAGAGTTCTGGAATGTTTCTAAAATGTCAGATTCTAGAATATTATGGTTCTAGAATGTTATGGTTATAGAATGTTGAGGTACAATTGTATAACATTTAGTCATGAAGTTTTGTCAGTTCTAAAATGTTAGGATTTTAGAATGTTAAGTCTCCAGGTGATCCTTTTACAGCCTTTGGGTCCATAATGTTCATGACGTTCCTCATGAGTGGAAGGTGTCATCACGATGAATTCAAACTGAATTAAAGCCAACAACAACTGCACAATTTTACACACTTCAAAAATGTTGGGACATTTTTAATCTGCATCTGTATTGTGATCTTGATGAAAGAATACACAGTGACAGTCTTGGAATACATTTGCAACACTTATTCATTCCTGAGAAAATAGCTGAATGCTTGAAATTCTTTGGTCCACACCACAAATAAACTACTTGTTTCATGGCCAATGCCTAATTCAGATATCCTTCCAACCAACAAACAAACCATGGCATTACCTCCATGGACTTGGTAATAATTAGTCACAGTATCCTTTGATACTATAATTTAATGTTTGTAATTAATGGAAAATTATGCCTTGAAATAGGAGAAGACTGAGGAAAGAACACAAACATAAATCTGAATTTTCAAAATCTGCTTTGCTTCATGTCTGTCCTGTCTTCATCAGCAGCTTGTTCGGGTTTGTAACTGAGGAAAGAGAGAAAAGACCACAGAGATGCACAGTGAGAGAGGTAATAGAAGGGCGAATGTCTCTTCAGCTATGTGTATTATCCCCACCTTTTGTTAGGATGGAGGCACAGAAGTGTTGATCTGTACCGAAAGTTATTCATTTATATACCCTTTTAGGGTCGACATCAAAATCATGTAGTTTTATTAGCCAGAGACAAAACACAACTCTCCACCACAGGGCTGTAGGCTACACAGGAGTCTCAAAATGTTGTCCTGTTTTGTTATTAGGAGCCAGAATAGAAGGAGCCATAGCTCCAAACTTAAATTTTATTGCACACCAGCCGCCACTGCCCGTCAACAAGAACAAGAAAACTAAGGTTAAATGCAACGAGACATATATTCCAGCAGCACTCCAAATTTACAAATGGTCCAGTTTCTGCAAAAGTGCACACCACCATGGCTGTAGCCAGCTATGAGGTCACTGAGGTCCGGACCTCGGTAAAAATTTCAAAGAGAAATAAATAGAAGGAGCCCCAAACAGCATGGTAAACATATTAACACATTGGACAGCTTTTATTTTGAAACGACACGCAGGAAGTTATGTGATGTATCGGCGGAACGCACCCACCATAGTCTAATTCGCCAAAAAAAAATAAAAACAGCCAGATATAAAATGCCTCCGATAAATGAACGTCACTCTGTAGTGCACTGGCTGGATCACCTACTGACAATTCTTTGGCTTTGTTATTTACATGACAATGACAACGCCTGAACGCAACACAGGCTCCACTCCGTAAGTGCTGTGCTGCGGGTTAGGTCAGGATATGCGGCCTGAGTTGCGCTCTAGAGTGCTCACCTGTGTGTGTGTGTGTGTGTGTGTGGGCATCGGGGCAAAACTCCACCGTGCGCGATACAAAGAGCAGAGGAGAATTGTAAAGAGCGTAGAGACAGAAATGACATGCCGTCATTTAAATAAGATAAATAACTTAAGGCTATTTAGATTGAAAAAGGACAAGGTATAGACCTGTTCTATAGACCTGGATATGATGCGTCCAGAGCTAAGACAAGGCAGATCAGTACGTTAGTCATTTTTCTTTTGATGACTGAAATGATTAACCACTAATCCTTAGCACTAGTGTGTTTATCAGTAAAAATAGAACGTTTTTCACACATAAAGAACACAAAGATGTTGAAATCTAGGCATATTCTGCCATCATAACTTGGCTCTCAGAATTCATCAGATTGATGCCTTTAAATCAAATGTATACAAAATTTTCTCCCGGGTGACCCCGGACCCCCCTAGAGGGTTTTTGGTCATTGTGGTATGAATTTTGCTAAAACTGGTTAAAGGGGTCTCTTTACCTCTCACCTCTATATGTCTCAGTGAAAATAGAATTCTAGAGTCCTTACAATAATCTCTCTCCCTCCTCTCTCTCTCAAAAGACCATTATTGTTGTACTAAACCTACAAGTACAAAGTAGTCTGCCATAAAAAATAAAAAACAACTATCACCTCACTTAGGCCTGTCATGATAACAAATTTTGCTGGGCGATTAATTGCGTAAGAAATGACTGCAATAAGCGGTAATATTTTGTAATATTGTGCTTTTAAGACCATTTTTTATTATTATTGTAATTTTGTTGTTTTAGACCATTTTTTAAACTTATATAATGATAATAAAGGCATATTGATGCAAGTACACCCTTTTAAAGAGAAATAAACATTTATTTAACAAGAATATTTAGGAATGCAAAAAAGAAAATTTAAATAGCCGAAATAACACATAAAACTATCAAAATAAATAAATAAATAAATACAAAAAATAGACTGTCAGTCTCTCACTCTCAGGTGTGCAGATAAGTTGGTCGTATTCACTCTTTGTGTTGAGATGGTTTTAGAACAAACCTGGCACACCAGCTCGTCCAACTTTAGCCTACTGGGCTCCCCTCTGTCATTTGGTTTAAATCCAAAACACTCCCACGCAGGGGCTGTGGCATTTGGCTTAGGAACAAGTTCCCTGTCTTTCTCTTACGCTCCACTGTTTTTTTTTCTCCGCCTTGTCTCCCCCGCACTAAGATCGCACTGTGTGTGTATAGCCCATAGCCCCGCCTCCCCCACAGAGTATCAATGACAAGAGCTTTCCCTCAGTTCATTACGCTAATGAACCAACTCACCTGGCTGCCAGACTACGCACGGCAGTGAACGCTCTTGTCGTCTAGTCTCTTTGGTGGACAGAGACAAGGAAAACAAACACGCATGAATATGGCAATTAATCAAAAGTTACCGTCTCCCTTTTAATTTAACGTGCAATTAACCGACTTATCGCATATCGTGACAGGCCTAACCTCACAGCCTACTATAAAGTAGCTAGTAGAGTGGTCCAAACTGATGTTAAAATGAATATATGTTTTTAGTCAAATAATGTGAACATTTTCGGCAGCTGGGCCAACCCCCCCATTTCAAATTCTGGACCTCACTAATTTCTAAACCCTGGCTATGGCCCTGCACACCAGCACTCAGAATGAGTAGTTCTGAACACACCCTACTCAGAGAGACTTGATAATGACTAGATAATGTCTGTGGAGAATTGTTTTGCCTGCAGTTAAGCCCCAGCCACCGAAACACATTACACTCTTTACTAACAGTGAAAGGGTCTGTTGAAAATTCTATATCCCATATATGTATAAATCACACTGAAATGTAGAATATACACTGTCAATTTGCAGAGTAAAACGAGATAAGGGTGACTTGGCCAGGAGAGTGCAAGAAACAATTATAATTAATGTTCATAATGATTACACCTAGTGGTCCAAGGTAGCTAGGTAGGTGGGTAGGTTACCAAGCAAGTAGTACAAATACTCCCCTATATATTCCAATGGCTTTTTGACTGATAGGTGGGTATACTGTAAATGGCCAGAAGAAGAATTGGGTATACCCGGTATACCTGCCCTCCACTACACCACTGATTACAGCATTTTACCTGATTTCTGCTCTGCTCCTTTTACACCAAGCATAGGAGGTGGTCACTATGAACACCAGTACCAGAAACCCAGTCACTGCTGATAAGCCGATAACAACTTTGAGCTGGGTATTCATCTCTGGATCTGCAGACAGACAAAAAAATATTAGAGGAGAGATAGTTACAGACAAAAACCCAGACCCAGACACTCACAGAACAGACACAAACCAAAAGGATGATGGGTAGGTTGGACTTATGGGTTTGTTTCATGGCGCAAGATCATTTTTTATGTACTGATAAGACACGATATTTCACCTGAATGATAATATCATACAGTATGAGGTGGTCACAGTCAGCTAATTGCTATCATTGTGCAGATTGGGATCTTATCTGGTCATACAGTTATCTAATCCAACTTTATGCAGTGTTGGTTATCTTGTGTTGTACAGTTTGTGGACACTAACTGCTATCTCAGTCTATGAATGGTGATAACAGAAAGCAATGTCAGGTCAAGTCAAAAGTCCATCACATCACCATCATCTGTTCTTTATCAATTTACACTACTTAGAGTTTCATGAGTTTCTCATGGCTTCAAATACTGAAGCTTTCTCATGCCCCTCAGCGTGTGATATCATGTGAAACCAGTGCTCTTGCCTGGTTTCCCTCCTATCTCTCTGAAAGATCTCACTCTGTTGTAATGGAAGAATATTTATCATCCCCATCCTCCCTCTCTGGTGGTGTTCCCAAGGGGTAAATTCTGGGTCCTCTTCTGTTTTCTATTTATATGTTTCCTCTGGGTCCCCTGGGGGGGGACTTCTGTGGGGAGTTTGCATGTTGTGCTTCCTCCAACAGTTCAAAAACATGCAGGGTAATTGGTGATTCTAAATTGGCCGCAGGTATAAATGTGAGTGTGAATGGTTGTCTGTCTCTATGTGTCAGCCCTATGTGTAACCCTAACCCTAACCCATGTCTCTCCTAGTGTCAGCTGGGATAGGCTCTAGCCCCCCAGCAACTCCTAACAGGATAAGTGGTTAGGGAAAATAAATGAAAATGAATGACAGACTGACCATTAAAGGAGAGACATTGTGCTGCTAGCAGAAGAGCCTCAGACTGAGTTTACTCAGAGCAGAAAGCCATTAAGTCTTCCTGCGGAGATTTTAGAGAGCCACCACCCATTTTAACCACCTTCTACAGAGGCACTGTTGAGAGCATCCTGACTGGTTGCATCACTGTGTGGTACGGGAACTGCAGAACAGCAGTTCGCAAGGCCCTGCAAAGCGTAGTGATAACAGTGGAGAGATTCATTGGAATCCTCCTCTCCTTCATTCAGGAAATTTTACAGAGACGCTGCACACGCAGAGCCTCCTCCATTGTGCAGGACTCCCACCCCTCCCAAGGTCTGTTTGCCCTTCCATCAGGTAGAAGGCTTTGCAGCATCAAGACAAGGGCTGCAAGGTTCTGCAACAGCTTTCTTCCCCCAAGCTGTTCGACTCCTGAGCACCCTGTGTCCACACATCATATAGATACACCCCCATCCCCTCATCCAATTCTATGGAAACCCTGCACTACTACATTTTACACTGGACATTGTCACCTCCATTCATGTCATTCATCCCAATATGCACTTTAAATACCAGATGTCTCTTAGTCCAGGGCTCTGTTGGAACTGTCCTTACAATCTACATGTGCACTTTTATTTATCTGTATATGTTTATATGTATGCATGTATGTATAAATGCATATATATATGTATATACATGTATGTGTGGTATTTATATTCTTTAACTTTTTAACTTTCTATTTTTATAATTGTATGTTTGATATTCATTTATTTTTTTATCTTTTCAACCTTTTCTTAAAAAATATTTGTAGCTGTATGATGGCCCCTTGGGGTTGGGAGAAAGCGTAATTTTGTTACCATGTACTCTATATGTGGAAATGACAATAAAGTTAAACTTGACTTGTGTGTGTGTGTGTGTTTGTGTGTGTGTGTGGCTCAGGAGCCAACTTGTTAGTCAGGGGGCAGGGATAGCTACATTTGCCATAGAAGATTCAGTGGTTGTATGAGCTTAAAATTCATATTCACATTTTGGCAGTAAAAATGTCTATAGACCAAAAACCAGGCACTGAACACACCCCTGCATAAAGTGCTCAGTATTATAGATCCAGTGTGTAAGATTTAGGAGTTTTTAGTACCACTAGTGGTGAGGATTGCAGATTGCAACCAGCTGAAACTTCTCCTGATTCCTTCAGTGTTCATTGTTTGAAAATTTTTACCTGGAGCCAAATTATCCACAGAGGTCTCTCCAAAACAAACTGACCAGGGGCCTCATGTACAAAGGGTGCAGTACGCACAAAAACATGGTGTACGTCCTTTTCCATGGTAAAGTTCAGATGTATCAAGAGTGAAATGACCGTGGAAATGTGCGGTGCCTCACGCCAACTTCATGGCTGGCGTACGCACATTTCTACAGCTGTTCATCCTTTGGCGACACTTAGAGGTGATGCTGGGAAACTGTTATAATAAATAAATGTGAAAACAATTAGTCCTCAGAGTGATGTGCACATCAGAGACACATGAACAATCAACACTGATGAACAACACACCCATGTGTCTGCAATTAGATGAGTGGATATAAAAGCATGCGCAAAGTGGTGCCGAAATACAGTTAATAACAATGGCTGCTTTAGCAATATTTGCTGCATTGGTTCCTGAGGGCAATCCTCCTGGAACTGTTGCCAGAGCTGCGGTTGGCCTTGGAGCACGATATGGCGAGGAGCCATGCGCTGCCTGTATCCATACAGGTGCTGACCTCCTAGCAACAAAAGCATTCCAGAGGGAGCTGGCCGACCGATCGGGACTGTGCCAGTTGACCCTGAGCCGAGCCATGCCAGCTGTGTGGGATGGAATTATCCGCATGTCAGCTGGGTATATCAAATTCTCAAATGCAGCTGAACAGGCCAATGAGCGAGAGTCGGTTTTCCTAATGTAATCGGAGCTATCGACTGCACACACAAAGCACCATCGCAGGATGAATTTGTTTTTGTCAACAGGAAGCATTTTCATTCGACCAATGCACAGATCATATGCGATACGCAAATGCAATTAACCAACATTGTGGCCAGGTGGCCTGGTTCAACGCACGATTCATAGCCTACATTCTGAGTAACAGCTTGGCTGGGAACAGACTACAAGCTGGCACTGTGCGCGATGGGTGGCTTCTTGGTGAGTAAATAATTGATTCGTTTAATTGTCCTAATATTAATCCCCCTGATACGCACTGAGCATGTGCACCCCCAAATATTATCCTTTATTCACCGCATCAGTACCAGTCAGTGATACAAGTTTAAACTACAGCTTCAGAGCTTTCTAACAAGCCCCTGATCGTCACGGTGTGTAAAGTACTCATGTCAATAAACCTGTGCGTAAAGTGTGACATTTCTTAATCAGCCTCACCTTTCCCCCGGCGCACTTCTGCATTCATTTACAATAGTGAGTGATCCATGTAAGTGATGTATAAAATTAACAAATATAAACTGTAAATCCAGTTCACATAATTAATTGTCTGCTTTCAATTGACCCCTGGCGACTCAATATTCAAATGGTATAAGCTCCTCCTCTCCTGTCCTCTCCAACTTGCATTCTGTGAAGTTTTTCTTTTTTCACATCTTTTTCATTATTTTGTTTTAGTTTTCTGATCTTGCACAGAGGGGAATCTCAGGTGCAGGGACCATTTAAATATGATTTGCATATTTAAATTGGGGCGTGGACAGGGAGGGGCCGGGTACTCCAACATGTGCGCTCAATTCCATGTTGATTGGGATGTACAAAGGAAATGTACTTGGATTCATGCCTACGCACAGATTCATACATCTGGATGTTTTTGTGCGTACATCATTTTCTGGATTTAAGCGTACGCCATGTTTCAGTAGGAAATCCATGCAAGTCTTTGTACATGAGGCCCCAGGTGATTGAAGTCAGTAAAAATAAAATAAAGCAGTTTCACATCACAAATTAGTGTTACTCTTACACTGTGTGGCATGTGAGACCCAGCACCCGGCCAAGCACCTGTTAATGTGTGCTCAAATTTTTCTCTAATAACTTAATGTGTGCTCACCTTATTTCTGATCCAGAGGTTCAGGAAGTTTTTACCCTCACTCACATTATGTGCAGAGTTCTCCTCCTCTCCGAAACAAACAGACCCAACAATTTAAACCAACACATTCTCACTCCAACCTCGTCAAGTATCGACATTTGGTCATGGACTTTCCGAGTCGACTTATGATGTCCAAGTTACCTTGGGTGCGTTGGTTGTCGATGTTCTGTCTGTTTTCAAAGTACACTTCTGTTTTCACAGGAAATGTACATTTTGCATACAGTCTTTTCAAAATAAACACGCAATGTTGGTACAACACTCTGTATTGACATTTTTTTTCCTTCAACAACAAAAGGACGTGGTTGGGTTTTGGAAAAAGAACAGTGTTTGGCTTTGTAATCATATGGGAAGCAAACACCGGCCTCCTGCGTAAAGGTCAATGGTTGTCTCGCTTGCCCTACTCCGATTTTAACCACCTTAACTTTCATTGTTGTCCCACTGTATTTTCCCCTGACGCTGCCAGGCGCCGTTAAACAATAACGCTGACTGGCCACCTTTCATGCCAACTTGAAAGGACGACTTTACACTGTTTCTACTGGCAGGTTTCAACATGGTCTTACTGATATGGTCAGTGATACCTACTGTGAACTGAGTCCTGAAACTGTGACCATTCAACCTGTGCTGGCACAAGGTTTTTAATTGCGCAACAGGTAAAAGGTGTTGATGATCTGTTGTTGGTGTCCTTGTTTTTACAAACCACAGAATAGCTTTTCGCCTGCAACTCTTCATCATAGCAGTTGTCAAACAGTAAAATAAAACTGATATCTAAAGTACAAACAGGAACACAGAGGTGACAAAAATACACCCAACCAAAGTCTCACCCACAAAAGCAGTGAGAACTGACCACAGTGAGATGTTTAAAAACGTTGCTTTCTCCCTTGTTACCAGCACAACCACTTGTAGTCAGTGTAGTGCATCAAACCGCTGCAATTTGAGGAAAAAAAGACCACCATGGGTATAGACACCTATTGGCAAGCTGCACTGCTGAAATAAAGCAAAACAAACCAGCAAGGACATTTTTGTCTTTGCTCCCATTTTTTACAAGTTCATGTTAAAGATGTGTTTTTCTAGGCACACAGAGGACTTTTGAATCTCAAATTTTTGTCACAAATTCATTAAGAATCTGTGTTAGTGAGCACATCTTGTTTTCCAAGATAATTCATCCACTTGAAATGTGTGACATATCAAGCTGCTGATTAACAGACACATGCAACCATAGACCCCAGGTGGTGCTCAAGCACCTGCCCTTTTGCCCTCTGTCTAGTTAAGTGCCCTTTTTGCAAGTCATTTTTTCTATTTATTTTAATAATTTCATACTTCAGTTTTAAAATTTGGCCCATTGTAAATCCAAATTAAAAGTGTGTTGTTTGCCTGACAACTGCATTTGAGTTGAGCCCCTGCCCCTCCCTCTTCAACTTCCCTCTAAGCAGCTACACGCAAATCAAGCGCCCTGCAGAGCAGCATCACGTTTCCCTGACCTGCCTTCATGGCCAGGTGACTATAGTGTTTGCCTTAAGATTAGACATTGTTTGTCACTGCTGGATATTAAACTACTATTAAAACATCTCAATACAGCCAGCCTAACTTAGGCAACAACTCACCATTAGCAACAAGTAAGCTAGGCTAGCATAGAGTCACACCGTCTCCCCCCACCTCCCTGCCAGATTTGGGTTCACTAACTGCCAGAGGTGCAAACAGAGACAGACACCCAATTGCTTTCCAACTTACATCCATCCATCTTCTAACCGCTTCATCCTCTTGAGGGTCGCGGGGGGGCTGGAGCCTATCCCAGCTGACACTGGGCGAGAGGCAGGGTACACCCTGGACAGGATGCCAGACTATCGCAGGGCTGACACATAGACAGACAACCATTCACTCTCACGTTCACACCTATGGACAATTTAGAGTTATCAATTAACCTAGTCCCCAATCTGCATGTCTCTGGACTGTGGGAGGAAGCCGGAGTGCCCGGAGAGAACCCACGCTGACACGAGGAGAACATGCAAACTCCACACAGAAGGGCTCCCACACCCGGGATCGAACCGGCAACCCTCTTGCTGTGAGGCGACAGTGCTAACCACCACAGCACCGTGCCGCCCTCCAACTTACATGTGTCTTTTTAAACAAAAACTCAACTTCAAATAAAGTTTTTGCCTCCCATGCTGAGTCTCTGATAATTAAAAAATGACATGCAGTTTCGGGCTACACTATATAAAGGGTGCAGAGGAGGAGAGGAGTGCTGGGCTGCTCTTCTCTGGTTTGTGGGATTCTTAAACAATATTTACAGCTACTTTAGAAGAAGTGATACCTACATGCAATTTACAACTCGGCCGACAGTGACTCATGGTTCTGATGATGTTGCTTGTACAGTATTAACACAACTGCCTCTTCCACATGAACATGCTTGGGGCCGGACAGGAATACCCAGAGTTGACTGAACTAGTTGATAACCAGCTTTGTAGTACTGGTTATCCAGATGGCCAATGTTAGGGTTAGTCAAGCCAGACAACCAAAAGATATCCTGGGTAAGATTAACTGGTTTCATAGTACAGGCTTGTGGTGTGGTTACATGTGGTTTGCAGTTGTAGGGCAAGTTGATTCTCGAGAAACAACAGTGGAGACAGCTTGTGGTAGTGAAATGAACGTTTGGTTCACAGGCAACAGCACTGGGGGAAATTCCTGCAGCATTTGCAACATGCATCTGAAACATCTGTTTCATTGTATTGTGTGATCAAACTGCACATTTTAGAGTGTCCTTTTATTGTGACCATCCTAAGACACACCTGTGTAGTAATGTAAAGTATAAAGTATAGTAATTTAGTGTAAATTACATCTGAAATGTCACAGTACAGTACAATAATTCTTACTATTGTTGTTTCCGTCTGTGTTTTTCTTGGGGACCAGCATGCCTTTGGTATTATCCAAGTGTCCATCGTTCATCTCTGGGTTTATCCCTAGAAGATGGCACATCAGTGGGTACACGTTGACTGTCTCAAAGGGCCTGAACACCAGGTTCTTCTGGAAATCGGGCCCCACCACCCTGAAGAATGGCTTCATGTCCATCACATGATTGTCAAAGCCATGCTCTCCTTTGTTGAACTGCACAGGGAAGAACTATGTATGGAGAGAAAACATGCAAATTATGTGTGATGGATATTTCAGACAGTGTTACTGTCTGAAATGAACAATTAACCTTAAATGAGTTACAAGTTTATCATTACATTCTATCATTATTTTTCCCCTACAAAGAAGTTCCTACAAAGCTTTTTCACTCTGGTGGTGATGCACCACCAAGACTTCCCTGATGAAGAAAATATGGGTCTCAGCTTCAGGTATTATGCCCTAACTTTTATAAACAAATATCTACATACTGTGAAACTTCAATTAAAAGCCTAGTCACGATTAAATGCCTAGTCCTTTTTACTAGCCCATTGTGGCAACACATTTTGACAAATAAAAACCTGTCTCAGTTAGATGCCTGGTCTGGTTGCCAGGCAGGTCATTTTTTTATAGAAGTTCTTTGCATGTTAAAAACCGGGTTGTTGGCTACCTCAAACTTTGTGTCCATTCCTCCACTACCCTGTGAATTATTCATATTCCCTTAGTCTGTAAAGGTCCTCAGATCAAAAGAATCAAAAAGGTTTTTCATAAAAATTAATCCAAGATGTGAGTATTAACAAGAAAAAGCGGTGTTGTGTCGGTGTGCCAGGTGCCATAATCCTCGAGTGCCATAACTCACTCTCTCTCTGATGAACTGTCTGTTGGAGCTAGATCAAATGAATGACTCATAATTTATGTATTATTTTAAGCCTTGTTGATTTCAGTGATTTAAGCAAGTAATAGCACAGGCTACTTACTGAAGTTTTATGGTATGTATGCATGATCTGTAGACAATGGTACAAAGTTTTGGCATTGGAAGTGTTCTGGTTTCCCTCTGTTGTCAGGGTAGTATTGACCTATCACGTTTTAGCAGGCCTTGGTTGCATGCAGGTAAACAGTCCATATGGAGAGCAAAAGAGGCAGAACGCAAATGCAATCTGGAACCCATTAGCCATCTTCTAATCATTATTTTTATTGGCTCTTTTCAAATTCATCTACATTCATATGCTGATATATGTTTATACAGATTAGTTGTTATGTTATCTCAAGTTGCTAATTGAACTGCAAACAATAACTGTATGAAGTCTTTGCCCAAATAACTGCTGGCTACACTGGATTTCCTGAAATATTGGCAGTTGGCCTCGAGAGGCTTTGTCGTTGTCAGATGGGTTCCAAGATTGGTTATGCCCAGACTAGTACAAGAGTGACGTGCCCATTCTCTTACCCCATTGATTACATATCCAGGATCAGCAAAGAGGATGATGGGCAGAAGTCGAGGGTGGCTACTGTAGTGCAGTCTAGCTGGCATCTCCTCCTTTTTATACACATGAAGGTGAGGATGGCTTCCTTTCAGAGCCTGGTAGACCTTCTCCAGCTTCCCCTCTTTAGGAAGCAGCATCCCAGTGGGACCATAATCTACCAGATGAAACTTGATATCCCTGAAGTCGAAGCCAGGAATCTTAGAGAGGATGATCTCCTCAACCAGTCCATCCCGTAGAACTGTAGTCATCCCGTGGTCGGCAGTGATGATAATGTTGAGCTGGTCAGTAAGGCCATGGTCTTGGATCTTGTCCCGGATGTAGCCCACAGTACGGTCCACTTGCTGGACCATTGCACGGCGTTCTGGGGAATCTGGTCCATATTTGTGCCCAGTCTTGTCTGGTTCCCCGAAGTACAAGGAGACAAAGTCCAGGTCCTGTTGGTGGAACCACTCCCCAATCACCTTGTCGATGTTCAGCCTCCATTCTGTTTCATTAGAATGATCATAGAAACGAGGTTCCACTTGCCTAACTCTCACAGTCTCTCCTTTGTAGGTGGCTGCTGTGCCAGGGAAATGCAGAGACCCTGCTTTTAGACCCTGACAGGATATAAAACACAAACACTTAGAGAAAAGAGCTCCTTGAAAACAGTTCCTTAAAGAATGTTTCATAGAAACATGGTTACAACAACTAGACATATAGAAAATCATGTATAAAAAAAAAGATACACTGTAAAATATTTGACTGTACATATACAGTACATTACTGGCTACTAGTTGCATTACTTTCACAGTAAATTACTGTGTAATTTTTTGCAGTACAACAATCAGGGCAAGTCCTAGGGCTCTGTAAATCCCTAGGTGGCATTGTCTGTCTTTTGAATTACTACTTTAACACTTTTAAACAACTCTTTGCTATTTTTAAAATGCTCTCAATTTATATTTGTTTCACTGGTATTTTAAAGGTCTAATCTGTAGCCTGTAAAGTGGCACCAGACCACATATGCTTCTGTAAAATTACTATATTTACCTGTATGATTTTCACAATAAAATTCTGAATTTGGTTAAATATCACAATAAAAGCCTGTGAGGTGAAAATAATGTAATTTATTGTAAAATATTAGTTTCATATTGTAACTTCTAGGAATAATTTCCAGTGTAGATACATGTAATGAACCTGTCTTTGTGCTGTTATCCAGATGGGTAAGCTGCCATTGTCCCAGTAGGAATCAACAAACTGAGTCATGTAGTACTGCTTCTTCTCCTGAGTGGTAGTGTTGAACCACATGTTGTGGATTACTCCGTGATTCTCGATGTAACGTCCTGATAAAAAGAGAAAAAACAGATGAAAGAGAAGAACAAGTCTGTTAGTAGAGAACAGATTGCACATTGAAGGACAAAGGATTAGATTACAGTTTATATGGCACTGCATAATATTGGGTTTCAGAATATAATTTAATTTATGGTAGGCTATTAAACTTTCAAAACACTCTTTTTGTTGTACACGTTTGAATTTGTAAATGTGCATATGTTCAGACCTACATTACTTTTAGCCACTGTGAATCTCCACAATTGGATGGATTATCAATACCATTTTTTTTGTTCTCCACTTTTGTAGTCCTTAGAGGATGAATCTTTATAACTTTGGTAATCACTTGCCTCTAGAACCACAAGGAAGTAGACGTGTTTCAATTATTCAGAGAAATACAAATCCACTGGATGGATTGGCTTAAACATTTGTATGGACATTCAGGTTTACAAGATGATGAATCCTTTGCAGATAGGATACATCCGAAATATAATCTAGCATCACCAGCAGGTCGCTGGGTAAATAGAGTTAAATGTCTTGACAGCTATTGGATGGGTTACCATGACATTTGGCTCAGACATTCATGTTGCCCTCAGAGGGAATTGTAAAACTTTGGTAATGAATTTTCATTTAGCATTGTCTTGGGTCAGAATTTCACTTTGTCCAGTATTTTGTTGGAGTAAATACCTACAAAATTAATGACATTCCCATCAGCCTCAGCTTTACTTTGTGTTTAGAACTAATACACACATTTTAACAAGTTGTTTATTGTCATGTGCACAACAATAACAGTGAGCAGTTGTTTGCAATGTAAATATCAGATCTCAGGCTCCTTCCAAATATGCCCTTACAGAGTAATGGATTACTGAACTCGAAAACCGGGCACAGGCCCAGGAACCCAAAGTGTCAGGGGCCCCCTGGCCCTGCAAAATGTCCCTCAAATTAAAAGGGAACTGATCAGGAAGTGACTCACAATTACCACAAAGACACAAAAAGATGAAAGAAACTGCAAATAGACGCGAAATTACTACAAAAGGGGCAAAACAACCCCCCCCCCCAACAAAACCCTGCCTCAAACCCACCTCAAAAGCCCAGTTCGGTTCGGTATCCATTTTTTCAATTTCCACTGTGGAAAGTTGTGGATGGTACCAGTAGAACTGTTCCTTACTGTCCCCATTTTTGGTTACCCCTCTGTTGGGGTACCTAGCACACAGATCCAGTGCTAAAAGAAGGAGCTATGAATCTAAGTTTTACATACATTACTAGACTTCAACTATAAAATGAAAGGATGATTGGCTGCCTCTGGCAACAGCTGTAGACTGAGATTTTTTTTTAATTCACTGGGCCGACTGCCAGTAACTTTTAAGGTGGAATGTTTACTTGTAATGCATGAGTTGATGACATGAATCCATCAGCATACCTCAGTGACAGTTTTGGCCATTCCATTTTTGTTGTCTCTCTTGGATGACATACACTTTTAGTGCAGCACAACTGTCACTGCTTGCTTTTTTTGATGGCAAGCATCGTTGGCGTATTCCTATTTTGGGGCAGCAGGAAACAATTCCGCTGTTGCCCTACAAAGACCTGGTCTAAAGTCAGAGTGGAGCAGTATTTTCCTGCTATTTAAAGGGTCCATTATTCAGTTCATAAGATGTGCCCACATAGATGGGTTCACAACGTTTAAGGACATCCGATTTAGGGACATATTGATTTAGATTTGTTACATGCATTGTTCCTTTTTAAAATAAACTTAGAACATAGGTAGAAAAACGTTGTTTTTAGGATTACTTCCTTAGGTTTTCGCAAAAAAGTAAGCGGTTAGGTTTAGAAAAAATCATAATCGCCTGGCCTACAATAAGTACGTTTGTTACTAACATTACAACATGTGACATATTATGTCACTAGCATATTATGCTACACATACTAGCGCACTACATTGTTATTAAAATAACTCAAGTGACTTTTGGTTTCACATGGTACACAAACAGCAGGCTCCTGGGTAAAAGTCTACAGTATGTTTGACCCATCCATCTCTCTTCTCACTCTCCCTATGTGGCCTTTTTCACTCTATACATGACAGTAGTTACCCAGAGCATCAAAATGCTGCCGCTCATGGTACATCTCATATCACTGCTAAAGGGTACCTCTGTGCATTGGTACCTGATGCTGATGGGCCACTGATCAAGTGTCAGTATTTGACAAGTTGGAGGTGAGACCTGGTTGCGTACACACTCTGCTTGTCTGCTACTCTTACACACACAGAGATTTGCAGATGATTTTTGGGTGGGTGAAATAATACATTATTAATGAGGAAAATATAAATTACATTCTCTAAAATGTAAACAAGGCAGAGATCAAAGCAGAGCTTCAGAGCTGCTAAGAGGACGTGCATGCAGCCTGCAGTGGAGGTGCTTGAGGACGAGAACGAAGAGCTCAGTCCATAGGGACTTGGGTTGGGAACCGGAGGGTCGCCTGTTCAAGTCCCCGTCCAGACCAAAATATGGAGCGTGGACTTGTAGCTGGAGAGGTGCCAGTTCACCTCCTGGGCACCCCTGAGGTGCCCTTGAGCAAGGCACCAAACTCCCCAGCGACCCGGAGCGCCTGTTGCCTGTCGCCTGTCTCTCTGACATCTCTCCACTTAGTGCATGTATAGGTCCTGTTTGCGCATGTGTGTGTTCGGACCTGTGTGTAATTGACAACAGAGTCAAAAAATTTGAATTTCCCCTTGGGAATAAATAAAAAAAAATAAATAAATATAAAATTAAATTAACCCTATGGGCCCTAGGCCTTTTTTGGGGTATTTTTACTGCCTTTACTTTTAAGCTCATAGCACAGTCATTATAAAGTCTACATACACATGCTATATCTTGTTTTTTTCAGGACAATCTGGGCTATCCAGATTTGCCATCATTACATTTTTATATCAATGAAAAAAAAACAAATCCGTGTTACTAAATTCTTACATTTTTACATGTATCTCACCAAAGCAAGTTGGAAGTAGACATATTCTACTATATATGAAGAGGGGAGACTCTCTGGAATCTGGCAATATAAGAACCATGATGCTGGGACATTCTGTTACTTCACAGTTGTCCAAAACATGTGGTTTGTGCCAGGCGGACATGATTGCCAGTATTTTTTCATTATTGCAAGAAATTCCATTGACACATTCACAAGTCAAAAATGTGTTTTATCTGAAAGAAACATGCAATATTTACATCTAAGATAATTGAAAAATAGTCAATCAAGTGCAATGATGTCCTCCAAGATAATATTTGCCACTTTGCAGTAAAAAAAAATTCTGAATGTTTTCTTGTCAACATTATCTTGACTTACTTCTCTGTGCTCCGTGCTGCTCTTTGACCGGACCTGAACGTTTTCCTTGTTGTTGTTTTGCAGTTTCAGTTATATATTGGGGGGACATTTTAGGGGGGGCATGTCCCCCTCAATGTATATGGTGACTACTGCCCTGTCACGCATGCATAATTAGGCCTCAGTTGTCTGGATGTGCAAAGGTGAATTGCGCTGGTCTTGTCATACAAAGTTTGATGGAGTGTCAAAGCTGGAAGCTGGACTACAAATGTGGATAGACAGGGAGAAACACATGCAAGTCTAACACGTGGTAAGATACGATATTCCTCACTATATGAAGTGACTGAAAACAAGATCTGTATTATGGATTGTAAAGAAATTCGTCAGCTTTTTATTTTGTAAACAACTGATCTGGATTTATAGCATGATGGGATGGCAGCACAATGATATGCGTGGCATTTCTGTGCAAGCCTGCATTCGCGAGTAATCCATCCAAGAGTAATGTGTGTGCAAAGCTGTATGAAAGCTTTGTTATTCATAATTTTTGTGTAACTTTATCTTTTTTTTCGCTGTGAAAACTTTGGACTACTGACAAGCGCTTGGTTTGTCGGAAAACTACAGTTCGCTGTTTCACGTGATATGACAGGAGCCAGAGCCTTCAGCTATCAGGCTCCTCTCCTGTGGAATCATCTTCCTGTTACGGTCCAGGAGGCAGACACCGTCTCCACATTTAAGACTAGACTTAAGACTTTCCTCTTTGATAAAGCTTATAGTTAGGGCTGGCTCAGGCTTGCCCTGTACCAGCCCCTAGTTAGGCTGACTTAGGCCTAGTCTGCCAGAGGACCCCCCTATAATACACCGGGCACCTTCTCTCTCTCTCTCTCTCTCTCTC